CAATAGGGGGCTAATAAGGTCACTTTAAATTAATCAGATGTAGTCGGACAAGTACTTAATTGTTTGTAAAAATAAGTACTTCAATAAAAATTCTAATTGAATTACGAAATATCTATTTACTTCATTTGAAAATACCAACGGAAGTATAATTCTATACGAGTTTTCGGTACTGTTATATTTTGATAAGTTTTATTTAAATGTCAATCATAATGATGCTACTTATAGTAATTAGTCAATTTATACCACATTGAAAAAGAATTTGATTTACAATCTTTAACAAATTACCAAGTGACCTTTTTAGGTCCCCAGATATGACTTTATTACCTTATGTCATTATGTTACAAAATACAAGAACATTAGTAAACAAAAAAAAACATCTTCGTTTGGGAAATTCATCACATGATTTTTATATCTATGTAGCTATTTACCCATGTACGAGATGTGCTAGACAATTTATCGTTTAGGCTTTGATTACAAATATATCTAATTAGTTTATTATATTTAATATTGAAACTGTATATAAAAATTAAGCAGATTAAATTTTTTCCTTGTTTTAACAGACCACCCTAAATAAGACTTAATGTACCGTAATTTAATGTTTAAAACAAACAGTAAAAGTAGGTACTAGGTACCTTAAGATGTGAAGTGGTGGTAACAAATAACAAATGTTTAATAACACAATATGGAACATTTTGATTATTAGATATTTGTTAATTTCATGTTATTTCACTGCAGGACTTAGATTTTTTTAGTAGTCTTTAGACTTGGACCGGATCTAGCTAGCTTTGCCGCTCAGTGTAAACATAATATACCTATGTCGCACTCAATAATGACATCTTATTAATACTCGTATTTTGCTATACTGACCACTTTTTGCTACTCTGGGCAATAGCCCCGCTCCCTCCCCTATTTTTCCTTTATATGGCTATACTAGAAATTAGTTTGAACTTAATTTGTAACTTTTATAACACTATCAATACAAACTGAAGGGAGGAAAGGGATTGTTAGCAATGGAGTTTGACAGCCCCATTGCTAACAATATACCCTGTTAAGTCGACCTCCACGTGGTACCCCCTGGAATACATCGTGAACAATTCTTGTTGAATTCGTCACGATGGGCTAACTGATTTGCTTCATCCTCATCTATCATTCTTCACTGGTGTCCCGCCGGTGTATACCGATAGCGCAAGTGGGGTTACTATTCCATTATCACCCATTAAAAAAAAATACAAACTGAATGACAGTGATAGCGGATACATAGGCATAATAATGATTCCGTCTAATATTTTTATCCACTGTCCGCAATAAAACATTTTTTGATTTTTACTTTTCATTACGCATATTTCAAATATTGCGATACGTAAGTATATTCGTATTATCACTACAAAGTTTATACAAATTATAAAATAGTTTGAAGATAAAGTAATTTAGCATATTACGTGTAATATTGGTGAAAATATTATATTAAAAATGTATATAATTATTATCGATTCATATAAATCAATTTTAATTATATGAGATTAATTAATTGTAATGAAATATTTCTACTTTTAGGCCTATAGATATAATGGAGGTACATAAGATAGTGTTACTTTGTCACTTATAATTGCTAGTAGGTGATAGGCTAAATAATATTTTTCGTTTAATTTTAAAATGAGCAGTTTACTTTAAAAGTATAACTTGCTGATTTCTTAACCATTTAACGTGATATATCCTAAAATAAATAAATCATTTGGTTTGCATGAAAAAAACGAGCATTTTTATTTTTGTTTCAAAAGTACATAAAAGAATATGTATTCTACTAATAGTATACTATTTTTATAAATAATTTTTTTCTATATGTAAAAGTATATACATATAGAAAAAATGGTTTGTTAAAAAATGAAGAAAGACTATTTCATATTTCAAACAAATATAAATGATTTTTTTTACTTCGAAGGTGCTTGTTTTTTTTTTATCAAAAAGGTATTAATTATTTGCCAAATTGTTAAAAAATAAATAGATATTCGCAGTAATGTAGCTATTACAAATTAGATCAGAAAGGAATATTAAATTAAAATTAAAAGCAATTTTATTCCGAAGTGCTGTTTCGGTGAATAGCAATTTAAAATTCACTGATACGTGGCACAGAGGAGGTTCTTTTTGCATAAAAGTCCTGAGCTCATTACCCGGTCAGGTCTTTTAGGAAATGGAATATATTAAATTGACCCATATCTAGATGTTTTAGAATGTCCTATGTCCAGAAACGATCGTTGTCTGTTTTCTTAATACATGATAATAATTTGTTCTAATTTGAGGACCACTGTTTGGTAGTATTGTGTGGTACCTATTATTATACTATTAATGTTGCCTTATGTAGGTTTCTTCTCTTATTCTATTTTGTATTTATAGAGTTAATTATTATTTCTTATGTAATTACTGTTGCCGTTTCTATTGACTAATTACTTAGTTATTTGTGATAAAAGGAAAATCCGATAGTTATGTTCTAAAAGTGGCATGTATGATGAAAATTTATTTATCTATTTTTTATTATTTAAGTATGATGATTAAAAACATAATTCGTTGCTGTGGTGGGTGTTATCCCTCTACAGTTTATGTCAAAATAATATGTATAGTGAAATTAAAATATATATGTTATTAGTAAATTGAATATCAGTATCAATATCAGTAATTTACACCAAGATACAGCTTCTGCTTAAGCGCTGTAGCTAACTCTTAACCGTGTAATAGAATTAGTCTGAGTCAGAGTTTATTAATAAGACTGTGTTCAATATTATGAGCATATAAAAAAGAACCCTGCAAATGTTAGTTAAAATTATGTAAAAAAATGTGTTAAAAGAGTTTTTAAGATTAGTACATAAACTAATAACAATTTCATTATCTAAGGACTATATATTTTTTTATAACATAGAGGGTAAATGTGCATGCAGTTCACCTGATGGTGATTATCGCTGCTCATTAGCACCCGCAATACCGGAGGAATTACAAGCGTGTTGCCGGGCTTTTAACAAGGAAAATGTTATTTTCTTGTGTGTATGGTATAGTTCTATTGGATATTCTGCAATATGATAAAACACTCATACCTACATAAAAATATGTTAATTAGCTACATTTTTTTTCGTTTGCTGCTTTGAAGGTTAGTCTAAAATATTCTGACAATTATATATGAAATCAAAATTGTTAGCATATTTTGCAATAATTAGCTTATTATATTCCTATAGTATAACAATTACTACTATATTATTTCATTTATTAGTAAATAATTTCAAACCATATGGTAGAGTATCCACTCTTTTATATTTTCGGGATGTTATAAGTAGGGATGGTAATATCAACAATAAGATATATAGATATATAAATATCTTTTATAGATATTGTAGATAGAATATTTGTATATAAAACCAATAAAAGATATATTAAATACCGGTTGTACTATATATAGTATCGAAATTAAAAACCCAATCAAAATTAATATAGGTATCTGATTGGTACGGGCGATATTAAAATAGACGATAATTTTTTTTATCGTCAACGTCCTTAGGAACACAATATATAGATATTGGAGTGGTATCGATATTAACTCAATAAAAAAATAACTCACGTAAGTCATAAGTGAAGATTACAGATATAAAGTACAAAAAAGATCACTGTAAGAAAAAATAATTTCGAAAACAGCTAAATATCAATATTTTCTATCAGCTTGGCGATAGTGGGCTAATAAGTTCGTTATATGGAGAGACACCCATAACTAGCGGTGCCACTTTAACTGATTTAAAAAGCCAAGGCTATGTAACATGTGTTGTAAATAGTAGAAGAGATATGCTGATAAATGTAATATTTGGATGATAGGTATTAAACTTTACTGATTATCATTTAGTAAGCTCAATTTTTGGCGTTGTTGTGGCATCTTTCTAAAATTATAACATCATATAATATATTTCATTATGAGTATAGATATTACACATTAACATTTATAACTTGCTAAAAACAATCGATAATCTTTCTGAAATTAAGGTCTGGGGATTGAGTTGTTATAGTTACGAATTTTATTTTCGAAATTTAAATCTAGACTAGAAATTTATAAAACGTTTGTATTGTCAATTGATTTCATCTGATGATTTCTAGTGTAAAAAGTTGGTTAAATATTAATATTAGACACCTATTATAATAAGTGTCCAATGATTTGGATAAATAAACAAAATATGAAAAATGGCATAGGGCTATTGGCCAAGCAGATAGTGTGGTCACTGTGGTAATTTATTGTTAAATAGAATATGATACGAGCAGAATCGTTTATTAAATCTGTTCTTTTCACTAAATTAGAAACATTACCTTGAACTGAAGCTTCTCAAATTATATTATTATTATGATAGGATTAATATTAAGTTTCGTAGTTTGGCCGTTTTTATAATTTCATTATAAAGCATGTTACATACGAGTCGCTGTTTTGGAAATTGTAATGCCGAACTACGCTCCTACAATATGTAGTGGGAGTAATGTATTTTGTTAATAGTTCGTTAAATGATGTTCTATAACTATAAAAGCATTTATTTTTAAAGTTAAGATCTATAGTGCTTGGCGTAGTTTTAAAGCAAAGCAACAATTTTTACTATCTAAAAACATTTGAGAATTATGTTCATCAGAGAATTGACCAATTTACAAATCTAGATCTAAGTACCTACATATAATATTTACATTTTCGCTCTTAAAAAAGACAAACAATACCTTTTAGGTACATTGGAGATTTTTATTCTTTAAAAACTGAAACTACATAATAACGTATTTATAAGCTGTGTCTTTATTTATTTATTAATTTATTTATGACGTGATATTGTTCGTGATATATAACTAAATGTTTATTAAAACATAAGAGATTAAAAATATACTGAAGTAAGTAAGTACCAAACTGACCGAACTGCGATAGTCATAATAACTCATATTCGTATAGACACTTGTGTCAATTATGAATTTATTTCAGTAGTAATGTCGTTGTTTTTATACTTATATAATAATGTGTAAAACTGTATTATGAAATAAATACAATATCGTTATAATTTATTCAGTTGCAGGTGGAATATTTTGACCAAGGATTAATTCGAAAGTCGTGATAATTTCAATTTTATTAAAATATATATAGTTAAAGATAGGAAAATAAATTGTTGTGTTAATTAAATGACTTTTATTGTACTGCAATAGCAGGAATACGATTTTTTTTTACAAAACGAAGCCTTAGGTACGTTTGTTAAAGTACATTTTAGTTATGTTTCCGCGAACTGATTAATAAAGGCACGGTCTTTTTTTACATAACAATGTATTTAACATGTATTGGTAAGTAATATATTTTATTGGTAATATTTTAAAGTAGGTAGTTACTTCACTGTAGTACGATGGACTTGGTACCAAGTAAGGGTACGGTAGACCTTGTATAAAATATGCATTACGTAAAATTATCATTAAGATCATTATCATATCTTAATAGGTATAGTCAATAAAAAAATAACTTTAATACAGGACTACCTATATTAACGTTATTTACTTATTTGTATTTCAATAAGTGCTAACCTATTGATAGAAACTCCATACAATTTAGCACACAGTACGAGCGTGTTTAGAACCGTATAATTTTTCTAGCTGAGTAAGTATTAGATGCAATGTGAACCTGCTATGATGGTTGCGCCTGTTTTGTATTTATAAAATGGTCCTTGTCAGATTACTTAGGGTTATGTGAATGCGTGACGACTATGCCAACGAATGCAACGTTTAGAGACTTCTCGTTAATGTGGTATGATCATATAAATCCTAGCACCACCCTTGAATGATTTACGAAACAACATCGATTTATTCATAAAACGTACAGCGTGAAGTAAAATAATTAGCACTATCTGAATATAATTTATAGATTAGAATGAAATATTTTATAGCCACTTACAATAATCTCATGTACAAGTAGATCCTTAATTATGGTGGGTTTCATTATTGCTTATAATGATATATTGGCTAAATTTCTTACTCATACCTATTAGGATACAACGTAAAGTCAATAATTTGAGCCACACTTTTAATAATATACTTAAATTATAAAGGAAAAGGTGTTGAAGACGTTTTGCGAATTTTATATTAGTTCGATTAACAGCTTTAATCGGTAAAATGTTTATACATAGTCAAATGCTTTGTTGAATGAATATAATGAAGTCGAAAATAGTTTGACAAAATATTTTTATAGCTATGCATTATTAAAGACAATGCGGTAGTGTATACCTATGTGTCAAGTGATCTTCATAAACGCACTTCCACAAGGAGTATTCAGGATTCAAATAATCTTGACCTTTCTAGTAGTGACGTTATACATTACCTAGCTACTATGTGAAGGCAAGGAGCAAGGACGGGTAGAAAGCGTTTATCGTTTACTCTCTTCTGGAAATACAGTTCACGGTAGTTACGTAATCTCTCAGTCTTATAAACCTCATCCTGAATTTCCTGGAAATCAACAACCTATAATAATAAATTCAGGCAGCCTTGAATGTATAAACAAATATTTTTGTGAACTTCGAAGAGTAATACTGTCAGATAGTGCTGTCGTACTTTATATACTCATACGTAATAATAAAAAATGGCTTACATCATAGAAGCCCGTAAATTACATAAAATTAAAGCACCCAATATACCATCACTTATTGCGTTTCAAACCACACGTGTTATCTCATAAGAGAACCGACGACGTTCCAAGTCTCTATACTAAACGAATCCGGTTCGCTGGACATTTTTACGTTTTTCTTTTTACAAAAGCTTGTTCGAGATATTACGAATGGACTCGTTGCGGTCTCGGCGGACGGGTCCAGCCGCTCGCGAGGACGTGTTCAATTTAGGCGTTATCGGAAGTACAAAATTGGTCCATGCGTGGGGTGGGGCCGCGTCAGAGGAAGCTCCGGTCGTCGTCGGGCCGGGAGCGCGCGATGCGCCGGCAGAAGTGGAAGCGCGCGCGCGGCGCGGGCGGGCGCGTGCAGCCGGCGGCGGGCGGCGGCGCGCCGGCGGCCGTCCGTCCACTCGCCAGCGAGCCGCACGATGCCCACTCGGCGAGCGAGCGCGTCGACGGCCGCCGCCGGGGGGCGCTCGTCTCGCCTGCCTCACACTACCTGCATAGGGCCCACCCCCGTAACACGCACTTCAGTTAAGGACAAGCCATACTTAGAGCTAACCTATTTTTGTTTAATTCGTTGCAAATTTAAAGCCTACCGATATGACTTCATATGATGAAGGTAGGATCCCACTATTTTATATATTAGCATAGTTTCGCATAGTATTTATTAGGACGCATAATATCATTGTCATAAATTACAAAAGAATACCGTGTTTAGGATAGCGCAGAAGAGTTTGTTAGTTATGTGGACGAAAAAAGTAGGGTAAGGGTAACTTACATGCTGTTGTATTGGAAGTCTTTTAATTCCTAGATGAACTCATTACAACAGCCCAAATTCTCACCTATCATCATCTGGTATTCTGCCAGCATATAAAAATATAAAAAATTGTTTATCTTAACTTTGTACCATCTACTTGCTTTGTCTGATACATTTATCTGATATTATTATGATAACATAGCGTCCAAACTTCAAATATGTTTGGAGTTTGGACGGGATTGACTTATTCAGGAAAAAAAAAATCTTTTTAATTACTTATATTTTGAATGCAATATTTGTACGTATAAAATAAATGTGAGCCTTTGAAATGTGGTGCTGGAGAAGGATGGAGAAAATTAGCTGGAGGGATCGAATTAGCAATGAGGAGGTCCTGCTTAGGGTTAAGGAAAAACGACAAATTATTAAAACTATTGAGGACAGAAGGGGGAAAATGTTAGGACACTTGATACGACACGACGAACTTATGAACATTATAATAGAAGGTAAGATAGAAGGAAGAAGGGGAGAGGGAGACCGAGACATAGTTACATCAGGCAGATCAAGGAAGGAGTTGGTGTCGTGTCGTATCAAGAGGTGAAGAGACTCGCTGAAAATCGTAGTAAGTGGCAAGAGCTCCACCGACAAGAGCGCAGCTCTTAAATGGATAGATAGATAGATAAAATAATAAGTACATATATAATAACTAGTTGTATCCCGTGGCTTTGTCCGCGTAAAACTAAAAAAAATATAAAGTATTTTATGAGTTGTGCAGGGATATGATTTATTTGTGTATCAAATTTCAATGAAATAGCTGAAATGTAAAAAGTGAGTTTATTTGTTACCTTATAGCACCTTAATTATAGTTTACCTTATATGGAATGGAAAAGGCTATAGCTACTTTTTATTTTGGTCAGTAAACAAGTCATTGTAACGCGAACGAAGTCACGAGTAAAAACTTATAAAAATAAAAATGTATGGCTAAATTTGTTACGAAGCGCAACATTTGAGAATGGCTGTACTACTTGGGCTAATTTTTTTTAAATATTCGTTAAATTCTGAGAAACGTTCTTATGATGTGAAAAATTAAAAAATTGCCCAGATAAATAAAAATCCCATTTCTCCTATTCCACATTATTCATAGTTGAGATGGACTGCTATAGTCTAATAACATTTGACAGAACTATGTCTATTAGGTCAGCTAATTTATAATATTATTAGGAAAGATAATATAACCTGTAAAAAGAGTGCGAGTGCGGTGGTGGTGGCAGCGCCGGCGGGACGGGCGCGTGCGGCTCCGAGGCGGAGCGCTGCACGCCCGGCGTGCGCTCGGCACGTTCCCCGCGCCCGTGACGCGGCCCGTTGCGCTCACGTTCTCGGTCACCGTTCCAAGTCCATTCCCATTGATTCTGTGTCATGTTTATAATTATATACCATAAGAATATAGACTAAACTATCATAACCACATGTATAATTGAAAAGAATAGTTAAGTATTTCCAAAGCTGGTAAGTATAAATGAGACGAAACAAGAAATGTATCTAAAGTGAAAAACCTCAGTTTAATTCTGCACAACTAGTTAATTAGTTTAATACATCGAATACATTGGATTGGAAAGACTGAAAGAGAAAGGCCATCGAGATTTGATTTTTTATAACTCGAAACCTAGGGCAATGATGAACATTAATTCGTACCATAAAACATTTATTGTGAAGACAGATTAACACAGCTTAACTTCAATATATCTTTTTTATGTATTTATATATAACTCTTTCTATGGCTCTCTATGCACAGAGCGACTTTAGTGTATTAAAAGGCACTTCACTGACTTCTTATTTTGTAAGCAGAAAAAAATCAATTTTAATGGGAAATAAAAGATACATCGCGCGAATAAATTCGCGGTGTTTTGCACCAATAGATATAATTACATAAATATCTAGGTATTACAAATTCATAAGATTCGATTCTGATATAATAGGTTTTATCACGATAACAGCCGCTGACTATCCACTGCTGAACATAGGCGTATATAATAATTGGTTTATTTTATATAAATATATTAGTGTATTTAAATATAGCTAAATAAAATTAAATAAATATTATATTGGAGCGAAACCTCGAATATGTTGCAAGAAGTATAAGCAGATGGTTCAGGACCATTTCTTCTGGTTGGACTGTCGGCAGTGGATAATTAACGACAAAAATAATGAAATATTATCATACGTCATTTTTTTGAGGCACAGAAAGTGATGATTTCGGCAGCGGTTGCGAAGGTGTGTGCGCCGGCTGGGTATTGTGGTGCGCTGGGTCGCGCGCTTGCAACAGTTGTAGGATGCGGCGCACGTCATTTGTGAGGCCAGTTTCTAGTAGCGCCACTCGTCGGCTTAGCTCTTCGAGCCTTGTCAGGACTGTAGCTACCGAAGCCGCTGTTGCAGCTGCTCCAACGTTTTGATATTGCGGAGAAACACTGTCCTGCAATATAATAGCATTGTCGTTTTACGTTTAATTACTATCATAATTGTGATCAAACGTAAAATTGGATATACCTTGCCTAATTGTAAGCAGCTCTCATAGTCTATAAATACATATAAGGTGAAGCCTAAAGATGCTGTTGCGTTTTATCGATATTCAATATAAAGGTTTTTTATTTACAATTTTTAGTAATTTTATACTATGTCTTCACCTTGCGAATTAACACATAGATATGCAAGCACATTTGTCTGGCGAAATATATAAAGGAGCAGTCAACTATTAAATAATTGACAGAGGTAGTGTGTTTGTAACGATTACAATTATTCACTACTGTATTATAATAGAATATCTGATGGAGTATTAAAAATAATTTGATACGCATTATAATGGGCAAACATTAGTTGACACGTACCAGTGCAGCATTTTGTGTCTTTTCAGAATTGAAAGAAAGTGCAGCGGGTCGGCCTGTTTGGTGAAGATTGATCGCTGAATGTGGAGCAGAGCGCGATGACGGCGTTCGTGCAGCAGACGGCGGCGCTGTAGGCGCCAAGATGTCGTCGCAGGAGACGTGCACGGGAGCGGGCGGCGCCGCTGGCGGACTAGGGGACGCATTCGTGTAGTACGAGCTTGGGTTGGTGCTGAGGCTGGACACTGGTAACGTAGTGCTGTGGGCGGGAGTACTGACGGCTGGCTCCCCTGCCGCTGCGCCCCCTGTTAGTGGCGACGTGTCATTCAATGGACCCACGGACGATTGTCGTCGTACAGCCGCACGACCTCTATATGTTTGAGGTGTTGATTGCGCTGAAATTTATGCAAATGTATAATTTTATTTATGGGTAGAGTAGGTATTAATATGATTAAAACCACAGAGAGAATTGGTGGGATTCTATATATAATAAATATATGAATTCAAATGCGAAAACTGAATCTAAATAGAAACAAAGAAATGGGTTTACTTATTAGATAATCATTACGTTTGATGATGACTATATGTATAATATTACATAGGTATGAATATAAAATTGGTATGAATGTAAAATTTCGGGAAAATATATTACAAATTTATAGGACCTAATTAAATAAGAACGTTTTTTTTTGTTTAGCGTTATTTTATTGTTTGAGTTTAGTCCAATAAGTAGGTACTTATCAATCGAGGCATGCACTATTAGATGTAGTAATGCATACTTACAGTACTTGTTGTGCAGCGGCTGGTGTGTTTTATGATGGTAGAGGTCTGGGAAGCTCCGTTTTAGTTGCGCTAGCATGCCTGCACACAAGGGCCGCGCTCAGAGCGGGGCGGCGTAGGGCGGAGAGATTGGGGGATAGCAGGCCCAAGTTATATAATAATGATAACTTCACTTCATTTTCGTAATTTGATTTTATTTTAATAATTTTCGACCCACAATAATAAATTATTGACTGTGCTTGCACACACCTATGGCTAACCTGCATTATTATCCCCCTCTCGCCTCGCCCGTTTCACCAATAAACAGGAGTAAATAAATAATACGGAAACAACAAGCGTAACTCATGCTGCTCTTAATGAAATAAAATTATAATATACTTTTAATTTACATAATTATTATAGTGTAGTTTCATAATATATTATTATATATGTCAAAAAGGTCTTTAGTTACTCAATTTGATAAAAATATTAGAAGTATCATTTCGTTTCTTTCAATATGATAGTGAAAGGTAAATTTTTAATTAGTTTCAAATGTCACGTGTATTTTAAAATATTTGTTAGAATTATAAGTATAGCTTAATATTTAATTACTTTATTAATATTCCTCCTTCACAAAAAAGGTATTAAAATATAACTTGATGTTTAATATATCTATTTTATAGATATATGTTGATATTGCAATATTGTGCGTACCAAATTATCAATAAAAAATTAATTTGAAACGTGCATGTATTTGTAATGTTTATAAGGGTGATATACATAAACACCTCTGACTAGCCCTTCGAGATGAATTGTGATCATAAATTATCATTATTATGACATATTTAGAAGAATATTAGTCAATTGACAGTAGGTACTTATGTATTATTTGCACTTATTCAAAACTAGTAGATTAACAGAACTTAATAAAGAAGAGTGATAGTTGTAAAAGGATTATTATTTAAAAGGGAATTGCACATAGCTTCATTCATATTCTATGTGTACAGAATCTACTCTATAAAAATGTAATAAGTATACACAAGCACCCATGTTTTAGTGATTGATATGTACATATTTACAAATGCACATCTAAATATAATACTGACGTATGTTTTATTTTTCTTCTACGAGTAGTGTAGATACATGGGCGCTTGTGCTTTCCAGTCAGACATGTTTAGAAATGTAAGAAATTGGATTTACATTCCATTATCGAGGGGTGAAAATAAATTACCAGTAATTGAATTGAGAGTAGTTGATCGTTGTTTGCTAAAATTGAAATTGAGCGGTGTCACATCTTGTCCAGCCTTGTCAGTGGAGAATTCAAGAATACCACGGCTGGCTGGAGATTCGGTGTCGTCGTCACTACACTGCGAATCCTAAAATTTAAATATTCTGAAATAATAAAGGTAATCACGCATATACTAGGGAAGGGGGAAGGGATTGTTAGTATCCGGGGTCCAGCGGCCTCATTGCTAATAAATGCTCTGTTGTCCTGGCATAGAATAGGCCACCCTTTACTCTCCCGTTACTGTCGTAAGAGGCGATTAAGGGAACGTAATGGTCAAGATATGAGTAACAGTATCCTTTTTAAAACATCACCAAAGCCTATTATATTACCTGTGCCAAAGCCTAATTGTGGTTGCTAACCCATAACTTCATAGTAGCTTGTTGATAAGTAATTATGAAATCCGTCTATGTAAGCCACAGGGCTGACAATACAATGTTGCTTTAAATCTTAAAAACAATATGTTGGCCTATGCAAACAATGGTTTATGCCTTTTTTGAAGAAGTCAAAGTCATATTATTTAAAGTCACGCTGGTAATCTTAGTTGAAAAATAGTGATCATAAAATTAATTTAGTTCCACATTTAACTGACGATGAAAAGATTTAAAAATATAACTTCAAAACCATAAACAATGGGTAAGGACTCGCGTAGCGTGTCTAGAATAAAGTGAACTAAAGTCAAGAAATTGACAGTTATTCTAATCAAATGGCTACTGTTTCCGAAATAGATAGCTAGATCGGTCTTGTAGATTGGCCTAATCAAGAGGATAAGGATGGATATACTCGACACATAAATTAAAAAATTTAATCCCAATTCACATTACACAAATATTTATATTTTTTTGCTTTGTGTAATAAAGTCGCGGTTTAGATTCTCGATCGAGTTAATTTAGGAAAAAGCTTTTTTTAATTGAATCAGGTCTCAATCGGGTGTTCTGGGTTATGTCCCCGTGCGTGCATTGCCTGTAGTTATTAGGTCTTAGTTTGAGGACCAGTTGAGTGATGTGATAATTTAATACGTTATTAGTATTATTTATGGTAAATTGGACGCACCACTTTTTCCGCAAATGTTTCTGTGTGTGGACGTCGAGTGGTGCGTGCGTACGCTTCGCGTAGTAGACGCGCTTCAGATGGATTCTCGTAACGCATGCGTCGGCGAGGCTCTATGCCACTCAGTTCCTCCTACACAAAAAAAAGGAATGTAAATTTTTATTAAATAGTTTATTTGTTTTAAAACTAATTCTAAGATATTGCTACGAAACTAATGCATGCGGTACTGGATGGCTAAAGCAAATTATTTTCTACATATAAGAAATTATAAAAAAATTTTTAGATACATACATCGCGCATATTATATGTAATCTCCAGGTTGTTGACGAAGGAGGCTCGGAACTCGGGGTAGAAGTCGAGCACGTCGAGCAGGTCGTCCCGGTGGACGCGGTGCAGGTCGCAGTACGTCAGGGCGCGCACGCGGCAGTTGCTGCGCCCCACGGTCGGGTACACGCACGGGTTTTCACCAAATATGTCATCTTTACCTGGTAATTAAAAACATTATAATCATGCATTAATTGTCTAAACAAATGTCATCTATTAATAATTTCGGTTCTTAAGGGATTTAGAGTATTTTTTATTATAGGCTATAATACGGATAATCTGCGATCTACTGAATGTTATTATGATATAGAAATGATATTAAAATATAAAAACTCCTACCATCTGACGGGGCCACTGACCATATTATGCGCAAGTTTTATTAGTAAATTCTTCTTTAAAATTTTCAATAAATCAATAATTATTAGGGTATTATTTCCTAATTATAATAATATTTTTTTCATGATATTTAGATTAATAACAAATCTAAAAAAAATTAAATAATAAATATTTAGAATGTTAATACGTTTATTAAGATATAGTAATAATAAAATAACAGTGGTTGGGATAATATAAAATAAATACTTAATACTTTATTTAATTTCAGTGTCCACTAACGTCTTACCTAGAATAGCCATGACGATATCATCTTTCAGTATTTCGATAGATCCTCGAGAAATGAAATACAAAGAGGTGAGAACATCTCCCCGATGAACTAACGTTTCACCGGGAGGTGCGTGTGTGGTCTTGAACCTCAGCGACAGCGCCCTATTAAAACCAGTACATATTTCTTAGAAAAACATGTAACGACTCCCTCATAAGTATAACAATAAGTATTAGTATTGTGCAATATTACTTGTATCTGTAACATTATAATAGTCTTGTTTACTAACAATATATTAGCAAAGCTTTGCTAATAGTTATTAGCAAAGCTTATGGTCTCCGTGTTACGCTATTTATATAAATCGCATTGAAGGCATTAAAAAAATTTATACATCATCTCAATTATGTAAAAAATCTGATCAAGGGGCCCAATATGATGCGATATGTCGAGCTTATGGCCTCTTAACACTGGAAGAGCGGCGTAAAGTGCTAGATATGAGTTTTCTATTTGACGTGATTCGTGGTCGATTGGACTGCGCAAAATTGGTTGAACTTTTGTCTCTGGTTGCTCCCATGCGTCGTACTAGACATAAACCATTATTGCATGTACCACGCCATACTACCAATTATAGAAAGAGTTCTTTATTTGTTAGATGTTAGTACTTATAACAATATGTTCTCCGATGTTGATCCCTTTTATAGGGTCAAAAAGAAATTTTAAGAATGAGATAAAACGGCATATGTCCGGCAATATGTAATTAACGTTTTTAATTTGTTGTCAAAGATTTCTTTTTTATATAATTTTTCTTTAATATACAGTCAGAAGTCTTAATTTTTCTTAATATTTTTTATTCTAAATTATTATCAAATTTTTTTAATGGTATACAGATATTATTCTCAAATAATGTATTTATCTGAAAAATGTTTTATTAACTTCTGAGCATTATTATTGACAATGTTGCTGTAGTTTTCAATAGTATTTGTTTGTTTAATTTTGTTTATATTTGTTTAATTTAGTATTGTCTAATTTCGTGTTTCGTTTACTTGTATTTTATTTTGTGCAAATTCTAGTGGCTGCCAAATTACTATTTAAGTATATAATTATGTATTGTTTTAGCTGTTTGTTTGCCTTAAATAAATAAATAAATATAACTATGGTAAGTCAGTGCATTTTCGTCACATATTCTACTACTTATATTATTATTTTATATTTTTTTATGCAACTTAGAATGACAAACAAGCTGATTGTTCACCTGATGTAAAGTGGTAATAGTCGCTTACAGACATAAATAGTGCCATGGACATAATAGAGTATACTGTTTCGCCCATGATACCCCCATGCCTGCGTTGCCATTTCTGGGGACTAAGGTGTTATACCTCTGTACCCTATAAATTTACTGCCATATTCCACTCTTCAAACTAAAACACGGCTATGCAAACACAACTGTTTCACGGTAGAAACACGAATAGGACAAAGGTACTCAAGCAAACGGCTTTTGTACTAAGGCTCCCTCTAGTATAGATGTGGTAATTTAATTTAAAAAGATTTACAAGTAATATTTGATGTTATGCGTATATTTTAAAAGACAAATTCACTAAAATTTTGACATGATATGAAATTTGGAAAAAATATACCTAAGGCATCCTGGACTGGCACCTTCGAAAGCAGAACAGCTAGCAAGTAAATTGCGGTTGAGGTGAAGGCAAATATCGGCTTGAAGACATTCAGGGAAACCTTTGAGTACACTTGAAGTATCGATGCCATTAGTGTAACTCCATGCATGTTGAAAATATTCCTCTAGTCTTTGGCGTAAGGGGTTAGCTATCTGTAAAAGGAAATTATGTTAAAAATAATCGCGTATCTAAGGATGATGGAAAGAATTATGACTGTATGGTAAAATATATAAGGGAAATAGTTGCCCTTCGTTAGAATGACAAGAAATAATATAAATTATTATTTAGGTACTAATGATTGTTAGAATTATGACGAGATAGATATTTATTACTTGTAAAATTATAATACAAATTGAGCAATAAATTAAAATCAATTACCAACCTGGTGAAATCGAATAAATTCACGAACTCTCAGTATTTGTGTATGATAGCGAGCTGTTCCAGAGTAAAGTCGTTGTATAATCGCTGATACATTCCCGAAAATACTGGCGTACATTAGAGCTGTGGGAAAATATATTCACATATGAGTTGAGAAATAGCTTTTTTGTCTTTTGTCAAGGAGTAAATAAGTTTTATTATTCAAATAAATTAGACTTATTTAATTACACACTTACATCCAACGAGCATGACGAATATCGTAAACCCCTTTTCCATGTCAGTATTTGGGGCTACATTACCGAATCCAACGCTAGTTAAAGAAGTGCACGTGAAATAAAGGGCGGTAATGTAACGGGATCTGCAAAGTAAAAAGTTATCTTTTAATGATATTTTCGAGCATATTTTGGTGTAGGTATAAAGTTTAATATATTAAAAGGCTATAATAATAAATATATTAACCTCATTGACGGACCAGTGGAATTATCATAAGAAGCTTGTACATCATTGGCAAGTGCGTCTAACCATCCAATAGGTGCGTGCAACTGAGGCCGCTCCCAACTGCCAATGGCATACCTACACAAAACAAACTCATTTTAAAGTTAATTTCTTAAGAGTTAAAGATAAACATAATAATGAGGAGAAATCTTACCACAAACAAGCGAGCCAATGCGCAATAAGCACAAATGTGGACATAAGGAGAAGTAGGACGGCAGTGCCATATTCGGAGTATCTGTCAATTTTGCGGGCGACGCGCACGAGTCGCAGCAACCGCGCAGTCTTCAGAAGACCGATGAGCGTCGTCGTCTGCAACCACCACAATGACAGCTCAGAGCCCCTCACCGCCATCGCTACAGCAATATAAGTTAGCCGCAACTCAAGCATTTTACGAAACGTTCGCTTATACTAAATAGCATCAACGAGGCCTCGCAGCGGTATCCACGCTAACCAAGCAAAAGTTGCCTATGAATATATGATTTCGAGCTCAACCAAACTTAGATATATTTTGCAGAATTACAAGCGATTAATAGTTTCAAAACTATAAAATTAGCTGGCTTCGTACGGAATGCGGTGCATATAATTGTATATAAATTCTAACTTCGTACGTTACTTGTTCCTACTGTATATAACTGTGTTGAAATATGATCGTATTTGAAGTAAGTATTTTATGATGCAAGAAATATTAATTTTAAGTATCTAATCCAATCCAAGTGAAATTTAGCACCCACTCTGTGCACATTGTAAAGCCAATAGTGTAATGATATTAAAATAGGTATTAACTGATATTAGTACTTGCTATGCTGTCAATAACGTAAATTACTATAGATGTAAAATCTGGGATTTATGAAGGTAGCAACTTGAGTAAGTAAACTGAGAGAGTTATCTACAGCTGAGGTACATGAAAATGTACATATAGTCGTATTTCTTTACCCACTTATCTATATTTTTATTACTGAGTTGTTTAATAATAGGCCGATTTCAATGTTATTAGGACCATTTTGTTCAGTTCACTTTAGATAAATACAAATGCAGTACTAATATTATCATTTATAATAGGTCATTTATGATAGATATTTATAGAGGATCTAACCATACCTATACTATAATATAAAATTTTATTTTAATGCTGCATCAAGTGACTATTGGTTTTATAAAAAGTTTAATAAATAAAGCAAATAGCAAGTACCTAATATTCTTTGTCATCTTATTTGTCAACATACAGCATAACGCATAATTTGTTTGTTATTGTCTTTGAAAACAACTCTTAACGTATTTTTTTAAGATATTATATTTAGAAGAAAGTATGTTTTCTATCTTCTACATTTGCTTTAATATTTTGTTCCACAAATAAAAAATAAAAAAAGACAAGTTATTTTTTTATGTGAGTAGATGACCAAAATCAGTTTATCATTGGCATAAAGTATAAGATACTTATAAAAAGTTAAATTAATTCTTTTTTTTAAAGTAGTTTGAAATTTAGTCAAATATGCAATCTATCTTTTTAAGTTAGTATTTTAAATGAGGGCCTTTTGATTTTAACGTACAACATGTAACTTTCCAAATGTTGTAGTTACTTTCTATCAATATTAATTCTCTCATATTACTAAAGGGGGTTGGGGCCGTGACCCCTTAACACAGGTTATTATAATAACCTATTTAGGAGCCCAGTTCTAAAACCACAACTGTACTTTTTTAAAACTATAATATTAATATTAGTAAACTTAAGAAACTACAATTATGTTTTTACGAATAAATCTCATTTAATTTCATTTCACTTTAGTATTTTTAGCAAATATAGCCTTAATAGTTTTTTAGAAAATATAGCCTAAATTTTTAATTAATTAAAAAATTACTCGCTCACGTATCTACTGGGTAAAGTATAATCTATATATCTGGTTATTTGATTAGAATGATTTTGTTTAATTCTGCTACCTAGTATGTGTGTGACTACCAACACTCGAAGAATGACCACCATTATTAGTACCAAAAGTTCTACGACCTTCCATATTAGCCCTCAATCTCCAACTACCATTTTATCCACACACGTTTTGCGACACGTGTTACACCTCTAAACAAGTATTTTGAAATTAGATCAAAAATTTGTGTACGATAATTGTAATAAAATCAGCATTTCTGTTTTTAAATGTTTTTCTTATGACTTGATATACTTTCCGCGCCATAACTATTTTGATCTCCTATAAACTAAGACACTTAAGCCTAAAGGCTATAAATATTCTTTTAAGTTATATTTATTATTTTATTCTAAACTTAGGTATCCAATAATAAAAATTTGTGATAATTACTTAACACTTTTTAAAGTATTAATTATTGTATATCTTATATTAGTAGGAACTTACCTAAACTGGCAACTGGAGTACCTATTTAAATTTGTATTCAATGGACTTATTTAGTATCGTGTCACTTCTCAATTGTTATGAAATAAACGGCTGCTTCAATTACATCTAGTAAAACAAATATTTCTGCACAGATAAACAAGGATTTAACACTTCTTATTCTCAAAAATCAAATCAGGTCTCCTCAAATTTTATTGTAAGACGTGATTTTAACGTGTATATGTAGTTAACTTTTAACTGCATTTAAAGCAGTGTCAGCTAACATTATAAAAGTAATAATGTGTAGAAAATGTAATAAATATTGAAGATTTAACATTGATACTGCCATCATTTCTCGGTTTTAACCATTCAAGAACCAAAAGAAGAATAGAATTAATTAGCTTAAGAGCAACAATCATTTCAATTGTAGCAATATTTTTGCACTCAAATTGCATTAAACACATATACTTAGTTATACAAAAAATATAGATGAATAGAGAATCATCCTATTTTGCAGTTCATGTTATTATTTAAATTTAGAATAAGATAAATATTGTGCAGATAATTGACACGTTATTCGATTTTCATTTAATTCTTAAGTTGCGTATATACAATATTATAATAAAATAAAAAATATTAATCGTGTCCACAGATAACTTGGCACCTGCCATTAAAAAGATCAAATAGGTTTGTGACGTGACATATTTCAGAATTTTATTAAAAATATTTTGGAGGATATAGGTAGATAGATGATTAGGATCAGGATAGTAGGAATAAACAAAAATAAAGAAATTATTAGAAAATAATTTATTAAAAAATAACAATATCATTTAGTGACTTTGCCAGTGTCAAAGATAAAATTATATTTATTTACAGTCGAACAAAGACATCTATTATTTAGTATTTTATTTAACATAAATTTTATCATTAGATTTGTTTAAAATTTGCTCGTTGATTTATGCATACGAATATACTCATACACTATTTTAGATCAATTGAATTAATTTCACTTGTACTGTACCTGAACTTCAATCTATAATAATTATTGTTTTTGTATAATAAAGTCTACAAACAAACAAACTCTAGGTATTGATAATATGTCAACTTAAATAGTTACAAAATATTTATATAACTGTTTCGCATCAAATATTTGTGAAATTTCCTATTACAAACACTCAGATTGTGAAAATAGCTTCCTTCCTAGATTTCCCTGGAGACTATAGGTTAGTATAGTTTCCTTCAAAATGAGTTTATTGTGGTTTTTAAGAGTCTGCAACGCACACATGGGTCTCTTGGTGTCATAGTGTATGCTGTGGTAACTATTTACCATCAGACGGATGGTATTACCATTTTATCATTACTGTGATATAAAAACCTATATAATTTTAATGGTTTTACGCATCTATTGACATTAGAAATGTTTTATTACTTTAAAATTACTATTAATTTATTATTACAGTTTTGTACGTAATTGCCTATAAACTACTGAATCACTTTTTAACATGGGCATAGTCACGAACAGCAGTAAATTAAAAAAAAATTTAGTACCATATAAAGAAGTAGTAAAATTTTTATGTATAGTAAAATAAATAGATTTTGATGATGAATACATTTGAAGCAGGCATTTGGTACAATGAAACCGTCTCAAAATTGTTGGATGTAAGGTGGGTGCCTTTAATATGTAACATGTAGGGGACTGAATAACTTTGTGCTCATCATGTCGTGAATATAGGCGATTTACCTATAAATTTGTACAATAATAAACGTCTGGGAAGTGTGAGCGTATTTGCTGACAAGCACTGTGCACTTTGTGAATTTTGCACTTTGGTAATGAAAAGCCAATAAAAATGTTCCGCCAATATTTTTGACTAATTATTTCCCGAATCATAAAAATATGCGAAAATATATTTATCCGCCATTTGGTTACTATCAATAGAATTATCATGACCAAAAATATTAAATTTGTTCAGTTCAAAAACAAATATAGTTTATATTTATTATAATTTGCTTAGACATAAAATTGGAGGTGAAGGCCCTCTGGAGGTCACCTTGACGGCTTGCGGCGATCGTTACCACTAACGTTAACTTGACGTTAGAATCGCAAGTCTACCTTTAAAGCTATGATTATGATTTGTCAAACTATTATAATACTAGATATATATAATAACACTCTGTTATTTTGTTGCCAGAGTTAAACTAAAGTGATATATTTTCATTACAATGTCTTCATTATTATTTTGATCTATATTATGGATTTGGACTTCTAGATAGATATACGATACTAGGCTATTCATTGCACTGAACTCCTGACGGCGGGCAAGCTCGTGAAACATAGCAAGTGAGCTTTATTAATGTCGGGCACGTAGTGAGGTTTGAAAATGATCATAACGTTTTGCTCATGGGAAGCGTCCATATCTTCCATTAACGCATTCGCTTAGTGAATTTAAAATGGCTAGTGGAAATTAATTAATAAAAATATGTCAACTAAAATAGAATAAAATTGAGTGGCAGCAACATAAAAATAGTTCACAAAGATGGTATACCTCATCACTTTCCAGCCCCTGCTGTAACAAGAAATGGTATAACAAATTCAATACGCACCCACCTTTGGGCTCTCTCCAAACCGTGATTATTTGAGAAAAATTATAGAAATAGAAACACTTATAGTCGAAAAAAGAACATATAACTGGATGATTCATAATAACGATATGTTACAATATTTCGAAATACATAAATTAAAGGGTACATAAATTAATACGTAGGTATTAATTACAAACAAAAGTTGATGATATGAAGTTATTGATTTGTAGACGTATTAAGAAATAATTTAAAATAATAAATAGCTCTTCGAATTGGCCATAATGTGATCGAGTAAAAATTATTATGTAATTTATTTGTGGTACTTTTCAATAGTGACAGTTGCAATAACTGCATTCCACTACTGCATGTGATCGACTAGAACAACCAGGGCTTCATTTGTCCGAAATCGACGTTCACATTTGCCCGAACTTGGAAAAATAGGCCGATCATGGAAAATAACAAAGTATTTGAAAACAAATATGCATAAGTATTGTTCCTAGAAATAGTTGTCGTTCAGCCCTAGCTTGACCTACTTCACGTTTTGACCTCTTTCGCGATCTTTATACAGTCTGCATCGTATTTTGCTACCCTAATTTTATTATACTATACGATTATATTCATTTATGTAATTATTACTTATGTATATTTTACATTCACGCATTAAATAAAAAAATTATTGAACCAGTTCGGGTATAATGTCGTCGCATTGTGCCAATTTCCTTTTCGGACAATTGATTGTCTGGTGGTTGCTGTTTTCTAATTTTTAGGCATTGATTTAGAAGTCTAATACTAAGTTGTATTATGTGTAATATGTGAAATGAGATCGAATGTGGTGGTGGGAGGGAAAGGCAGCTCACTTCGTCGGTGTCGGTTCCGAACAGCAGAAGGTCGAAAGGGATGGCGGCGACGAGGTCGATGACGAACCACCCGCGCAAGTAGTGCATCGCTATCTTGGCCGGATCCGATTCCACCTCATCCGCAGCATTCACAAATGTTGTACGGAAGTTTATCAGTATATCGATAATGAAAGTTACGTCCACTGAAAATAAAAAAATAATAACAATGAAATATATAATTAATGCTCGTCCTAAGGCTAGGATATCTGTGTTATGAGAAACTAAAAACGAATGTCTCGGGTACAACTCAGAACATCCAAACCATAGCTAAAAGAAAATTGATTTTTCGGTAAAATTGCAACCGACAATCGAATTTGATTTTTCATTTATATATATATATATATATATATATATATATATATATATATATATATATATATATATATCAATATTGCTAACTCATACGCCACAAAAGTCAAGTGGAATATCAATTGCCTATCTAAATGACGATCTGGGAGATTGTTATCAATAGTGTTAAACTATGTCATGATTAACATGAAAATATTAAATTCTTACAGATTATATTGCTAATTCAATTAGATTATTTTATCAATTTATTATGGCTGTATATATTATATTATTTAATTTTGTAGAAAATCATGCAAACTCTATTGATATTAAACAAAAAGTCACTATTGTGCATGTGTCACGTTCACGAAGGGAGATTTTTTTGTAATTTTCTATAAGACACTATATGTTTCATTTAATACTATTTTGAATTGTTATTCTTATTTTAAAAGTTTTTGTTTTTTAATTTTAAGACCGTTTAGTAGAATGGACTTATACCTATGAAATTTGGCAACAGATGGATAATAGGTATTCTAAATATATTATTAACAGAAATATAAATTTTGTCAGATACTAATATTTCCTCTTACACAAACGTTAATACATTTATTTATAGGTATATTATAAGCTTATTTTACTCGTATTAAATTGATTTTTTCTCATTTTATGAACGCAGTTTAAAAAAAGATTTGCCGAAGTTTTTGGGCATATATATAACTAAGGGATTTATTTTCTAGTCTGAATTGATGTAGCAAAATAATATAGTAATAAGATGAAGTCAGAATAGAAGGTTTGTTTACCAATCATGTCAATCACCACAATGGGATCTTCTCCAAAGCTGCGCGATCGCTTGTCGAAGTCAGGCTCATTCAGTTGGAAAGCAGCCACGTACGGTGTGAATATCGCCGTGTAGATCACCAAAATTAGAATCAACCAATCCCAAGCGGCCTGTAATATTATATTTTTTATTTTACATGCGACTATTGTTGGTTACAAGCCTGTTTTAAGGGTGGCTATGTTGTAAACGCCGTTTTGTGGCGTGGCTAATAGAGTAGGTATTTGGTGCTTTTGCGTGTCGAGAACTAACGAGGCCGTTGCGGTAAAATATTATAATATTTCAATTTAATAACTATGGATTATGTTAGCATTTGTAGGAAAGAAGTTATTATTCATATCATCAATGATGTGCATTAATTATCGTATAGGCACCTAATCCACATGTGAAGTAATTAATAGATTCTTACCACTCTTATTCTCAATAAAATATTATGATGTCGAATCTAATGATAATCAAACATTGCTCAAGTCGAGTAACAAAGTAACATGTCTCGCGATACAAAAAACTAGTGTAGTGATAGGACTTGGTTTTAATTTTCTTGTTAATTTTCAATAGAAATGGTAATGGTGTAAATATGTAGGGTCATAGATAGTTGCACAAAACTCTGTTTATTGTTATAGACTATGTTTAATACCTTATAATAGTTGTTTTAATAATGAAAATTAATACATTGATACGTTTTTTACATGATTATCGTACTGTGTAGACAGATGGATAGACGCAAGTCGAGGATTTTATACTATAAGTACTGTAATATATACTACATTCTGATAAAGTAATAAATATCTCACACAAGGTATAAAGAGATTAAGTTATATTTATATTATCAATTACTGAATTTGTACTGACATCATTATTGTGCAATATTATTTAATGGTTTTGATAATTGAGCGATATGTTGCAATAATTCCTTTAGCATAACCTTTACATATGTGTATTATGTAATATATGGTACTCTAGTTGTAATTTACCTTGTAAGGAGAATGGTGGAGGATAGTGCAGGGATGAGATGGCTGCGTGGTCCCCTTGGGCCCCGTCGCACCCAGTGAAAGTACCTGAGGACAATGATGCCCATAACATATAAATTATATACTATATTAAACTGTAAAATATACAATTAAACAGTATAAAAAAAATAATCATAAAATAATTATTGGTATATGATTTTCATATTAATCATATTTCTTTTTATTTCTATATATTTTATAGAAATATTAAAAGTGTCTTCAAATATACTGGGTAAATAACTGTAATAGAGTAGACAAACAATATTTACCTACATTAATATGTAGGTATGGCAACAGTTTTAATATGAGTATATAATCTCGATTTAAAGAAGATAGTAAATGTACGTATTCACATATTGTAATAATACGATTAGATATAAAATTATATTTTTTTATCTAACTAGGTAGTTTGATATCAATAAAAATACGCACTTGTTTGGTAAGTACAAACCTAATTAATATAATAATAATAATAATAGATTTATTTTCTCTTCATAATTCATCACAGTGCAATACAATGAGACATGTTTATTATTAAAGTAATCAAATTATAAATATAATTGTGAAAGACTAGTGCCTGAGGTAGGTATAAGAATACCTGACTTACAGGTCACCAGGGCCTCAATCATATTAACAAAACACTATTTACATTGTTACTGTGAGTCAAGGCATGAAAATAATATAGATACTATGTCCAAGTAATTGATTACTTTTATTATTTTTAATATCTTATTGGATATAAATTTGAATGTTTCTAATTTTCGTTTTATTTATTTGACTATTCTTAATAGTGATTTCCTAAACAGCCATGGACGGAATATAATTATTTAATATGTAGAAAAGTTAGTGTAAGATCTACTACCTATGTTACATTGCAAAGTGCTAATAAAATTGTTATGACACAGTTTACTATCTTTATTACATTATAATGACAAAATTAACTCTGAATATTAGGATAAAGTGACTAAGCATTTGTGAACCAACAAACGTGTTTATCTATATAACATTTTGACTATCTTATTATATTATATATATATATCTTATTATATTATACATTTAAAACTAGCGGATCAGACAGGGGTTATCCTGCGTTTTTTAATTTTTAATTTTTATGTTTTATTATATTTGTAATTTTTATACTGTTGGTCCTTTTACTGCCTAATAAAATAAAGCCAGTGAGAGGAAGTACTTTTTCATTTTTTTTTTATTTACGATTAGTGGTTTCCTTAAAAATGTGAGTGCTTTTCTAAATGTATTGTTGGTATGTTTGTTTAGTGTATACGATGAAAATTGTAGTACATATTTATGACCTAATCTAAAAGCTTAAGAGCGTTTAATTTGCTAGCTGAGCATTTAATTTCTAAACATTGAAAATAAATTTGTTAATTTACCACAAATATTGAAAATTGTTAAATCATTTTTGAAAATTAACAGATAATTGTGACGTTGCTATATTTCGGTAAGCTCTAAACAACTATTTCTTAAGCAATAATTTTTCGACAACATTTGTTGAGATATTTAATGTAATATTTAGTTGCTATAAATCGATCGGTAGTTGTGTAATAAGATCGACGTGTTATCTCAATCAATAATTGTTTAATTTTTTGAAACCTCATAATTTACAAGCGTCTTAGTCTTTTAGACAAAGTAAGTACTTTAGAAAACAATATGTGTATACGGTTATTAGCAGGGACTTCATATAAATACCTACATAACAATTTTTTTATGGATCTATTTGCTAATTAGAAATATTATATATAGTACGGGTATATACTATGCACATTTTTCAATAATTATTAGCTATGAAAAAATTAGCAGCCGTAAATGACTACTGAATTTTTTTTAATGTACTCAATAGAACTTGAGCACTTACAGTTCAAGTTCGAAGTTTAATCAAGCGAAAAATGAATAATTTATTAATGAAGTGGTAAGTTGTCGCTGGGCATGCCCAGTATTCTAGAGGTAGCGAGCAATAAAGTACGTGTAAAGGTCAAAGAGATTCCAGCTAAATTAATCATTCACCGGTTCACACTGCGTATGCTATAATATTTATGGGTTTACAGTACAGGTTTCCGCCGCGAAAAAAATCATCACATAAATTGTCTCAAATGGCCGCAGTAAGTAGCGATTGTGTATCTTGAGGTTTACCGATCTTTTACTGGTCATTTTAGATATAATAATTCGACGAATATTTTAAAGTGAAGTTATCATAGATTTATTTTTCAATTAATTTCATTACATATATTATGATTTTGTGGTTTAACCGGTTGTGTTTCTTTACAATACAAATCAGGCAAAGAGATATATAATTTACCTCCTTGCCGATGGCTGGTAACCCGTTGAGGCCATTACAGGGCGGTTCAAGGCGAACAACACTTTTCCGAGAACCGCGGAAACCTGTGTCGCGTACACGTACGGAGGAACGCCAGGTGGATGGAGGCGCATCGTCGCGCGAGCCGCGGGCAGAAGCAACGCGCCGTGAGGTTGTGAGCGCCGCGCCACCACCACCGCCGGCGCCACCGCAAGGAGGCGTCACGATCAACGGCACGTCGGGGGGTCCACGCTCTTCCATGCCGCTGCCGCGCCAACGTTCTCACCGAAACCCGCCGTGTTCTGACGCCTCTAAGTGCTCACATTCCAGCACGGCTCTCTCGTAGGCCGACGCCGACTCCAGAAGAGCGATTGCCGTATTTTGCATAGATACACCTTTTATTACCGTGGATTCTTGTAACTCTTGAGTATCTTCAACCCCAAAAGAGTATTTATATTAAGCTTTATGTGATTTAGATGCAATTATGAATACGATGGTATGGTTTGTTTTAGGAATATAATGTCAGAAATAGTTTGTTTAATGTGGAGATCGTATATATTATATATTCCAAGATTTTCTTTAAATGACTGTTATTAATTATTGTAATTTTACCGTTCTAGGATCAGGTATAGAAACTTGATAAATAAATATTATAGGAATAGTACGTACGTCATTTAGGTTGACATATAAAATCAATTTCGTATCTTTCAATTTGTAAATCAATAATTCTATAAATTTGGGCCGCATGATATGATATGAGACATTTATAAAGTTCTGTAAGTAACTAAAAATGAAAAAAGAGGACGAGTCTCATAGTTTAATAATTTAGATAATAATAATTAATTTAAACTGTACTCATACGTTTATTGAAAGAGAATAAAACAACGAGCTGGTCGTATAAGATACAGAAAGTAAAAAATTTCATGTTTTTATGTACTTATATTTATTTATTTGTTGAGTGAACATCACTGATTACTAATTTTTTTTATACTACTGAGGTGGTAAACAAGCAAACGGCCCACCTGATGGTAAGTGGTTACCGTAGTCTATGAACGCTTGCAATACCAGAGGTATTACGCGCGTGTTGCCGATCCTGAAGAAACCTCTTTACCCCCCTTTTGAAGAACCCCATGCTGTAGTCTCGTACTTTTAATATCTATGGTAATCACATATGAAATGTATTATATATATATTATAACTGTAAAACAAAAAAAAATTTAACCCGTGCAATGATTTGGTTGGTTGGACACAAAGGCATCTTTCAGAAGGAAATTACATAATTTTCTAATTGCATTTATATAATAAAATAATTGCAAAATAGGTAGTAATTTTACTAATTATTAATAATATTAAAATTTCGATAATATTCAGTGATGTTACATTAAATATAGTTTTATTTTGAAAATCCTATTGAAAGAATTAACTAAGAAGAACTAGATTTGGAAATTATGAAACTGAAATGTTATTTTCTAATAATTAATTATTATTATAGAATTTATTATACTCAATATAATAATAATAATGTATGTTCGCTAACACTGCTCTCAAACGCTTTTTGTATTTACCTAATGGTTAGCTGGTAGGGAATGCCATACAGTATTATGCTTGTCATTTGTACGAATTTTATTATGTAATACAGAAATAAATAAATACTCAAAATACGATGAAAAGAGTACGTTGAGTACGAGGAAAGAGTAGTAAGTGTACCTATAAGTAACAGACAGAAATTCAAAGTTTGTATCTATATTTCATATTTAATATGAACATATTTTAAATATTATTTCAAATATGTTTAAACTGTTTATAAACATTGTTTTTGAATCTCCAATCTCCAAGGCAGCTTTTAGAGTGGCAAACAACCCTGTGCTACGATAACTGTTCGCTATTAAATAGGCAATATGATTGCATTTACAGGAAGAAACAATCTGAAATCCGGCGATAATATTCATGAGATTGAACAACTGTCTCTTAAGAATGCAGGGCGAAATATAAAAACAATTTTTCCACTTTTCGTATAAAATAAAGCGGAATTACTTGGTACTTATGAACGATATTTTTTTTGTAATTTGACCTTTGCCGTTCTGCGGGGAAGATTGTTTAGCTGTGAGAACTTTCTTTGAAGTAAACAATTTTTTTCTCAACACCCAATTGTAATAATCGCTGCTAAGTAAATCTAATGTTTTGCTTTTTTTATACAATGTAGGTGGTAAACAGGCATATAGCCCGTAAACGGTCTCAGTAGCCTATAGACGCCTGCACTACTAGGGGTGTCCGTTACCGATTCTGGAAAAATCTTAATATACCCTTTTTGAAAAATCCCATACTGTAGTCTTTAGGGAAAACCTCGGCAAGGGCCTCATTCCATAGCTTGAGCGTTTGCGAGAGAAAATTTCTTTGAAACCGCATTGCACGCGACCATTTAGGTTCAAGCATGTGAGCATAAATTCCCTGTCGATGATGAGCGGTGCGATGATAAAGGGCATCATTTCAAACAATTCATTAAAACACAATCCGTTACACAAGTGATAGACAGAACACACAAAGGAAGGCAAAGTCTTGCCTTAGATATAAAGGCTCCTTACAGCCTTTGAGCTTGGGATCGTCGACTATTTCCATAGCCCGTCTTTGAACTGAGGAGTCAAGAGGACCAAGCTGGTAACCCAGGTGCTCTAGCCCACAAGTGATTCCGTAAGGGGTCGGACTTGCGACTTGAATAATAATAGCCTTTGTCTCGGGGTGAAGTACCGTTTTGTTGTATTGAGCACCCCAAGCTTTTTGGACGCCACTTTAATCCTATCTTCAAGAAGAGCCCGGAACTCCACAGTAATTGCAATACTGTATATATGTACATATACAGATTTTATTCTTAAATTTATTCTGGGCGATAATTTTCATTTTTATTTTATTGTCTGTTTTTGTAAAACAAAATTATATTATAAAATAAAATTACTGTATACAATAGGTATACTTACAAATAACTAGACGTTGTTTGTACATGGAAGTTTCAATATATATATATATATATATATATATATATATATTGGTATAATAAGAGCAATAAAAGCTAATATAATATTTTTTAAAAATTTTGTCTGTATGTTTGTTTCAGCATCACAAAAATTACTGTACCAAATTAGATGGGGATTTCATAGTGGTGTTTCTGAAAATTCTTGATACGCTATTTAAAATCGAACTGTTTGATTGGTTTCCTACTTCTAAAATTCAGACGTACAAAGTAGCGAGTAAAAGCTTATATTTTATGAAATTATACACTTACGTAAATCATATTATGTAATATTTATATTCACGTTCAGAGCTATGTGTAAACATCGCAAAAAATTAAAATTAATCATGTGAGAGTTGATTGTGAAGTAGGAGTACCTATTATATTTCATTAAAACTGTGTTATTAGTTATTTTTCTTTATTTGTTTTATGGCCATAAAACTCCCACTGACTGTGCTATCTATAAAAAAATATCAGATATATAATCATTCACTATATCAATTGATATATATTCTCTTTCATGGTGAAAGCGCTTATTATTTTTAGAGATTTCTTTATATAATTAAATAAGTTATATTAATTGAATAAGTTTTCATATTCAATTATATATATGTGATCTGTTTTACCGTATCGAAGAATTATCAAAGGTATAAGTGTTGTAACATATAGTTAAATAAAAAGCCCTGTGAAAATACTCCAAGTGTTATCTCACTTATAAAGATCAACAGATTATTATTTTTCATTTAAGTATTTGTAACATATTAGAGGTAACATACCTAATATCACTACAAAAATTTTAATTGAAATAATAACAATACTTTTAGATATCCTTAAGATTAAGATATATATGTAAATTACTAGATAGAAAATAAAGCAATGATGCGTGCCAAGAATGTAAGTTTGGACCAACAAATATATGCTACTATGTACGAGTATTATATCATCAGATGTTTGGGGCATTCTTCCAGAACGCGAGAGGGAGGGGCTGCATGCTTTGCATAGTTTTTACTTAGTCGCCATTACATAAACGCATGTAATATAATAACTACCTACTGGTATAACGTGCTATGTGGTCATATTTATTGATACAAAACAGAAGTCACTCTTTGAAAGCAGTCATCATTCATTAAAGAATATGATTAGGTATGATTGAAAATGCATTGAAATCAGTCTACTGGACAGCAACATTCTACATGATTATTTTGACAAGTGAGGTGTTAAGTTATTTTTTAAAAAAAGTCAGCCTTATTGAAACGATGTGAATGTATGATTTTTGTAGTTTATGAGACTCGCCAAATGTAAAAATTTAAAATATGTTAATCTATTTTCCTACTAAGAATATAAAACGTATATAATGTAGACAAAGAAAACCATACCATGGTAGTCATAACTCCAAGCATGGATCGCGTTTTTTTCACTTAAAAATAGCAAATAAAAGCAAAAAATAATCGAATAAATATAAATCGCTTAAGCTCGCAAAGAAAGATACTCCAAGAAAAACACCTCTCGAGAATTGACGCAACATTCACTTAAAGAACTAAGCACAGGACGGCACCACTCTTATTATTTTTCTTTATCTTATAAACAACACGTACAAGTGATGTCTGACCACTTTTCGGTAAATACGTAAAAATCAAGCTTATAAGCTTTATTATAGCGTAACAAAAGCTGTTTGAGTTGCCTGCGAAACGATATAAATAGTTTTTATTTTTTAATGCAGTCGATCGATTAAAACGCTCGGCTTTAGTGTACGCTTGTACATTATGTTGGATACGTAAAATGGTTTCCGTTGTATATAGCAGACATACAGAAATCGTATAAAACGCGTCGACGTTCACTAAAGGCGAGAGGCCTAGGAACGATATTTAGATAACAATTCGATGGCAGTGTGAGAAGCGGCAGAGTCCGCAGCGTGGTCACCGGACGTAAACTCGATGGAGCACAAGCGAGCGGCGCACGCAAGAGGTCGCTGTGCGCGCGTCGGGCACTGGTGGTACGGACCCGCCGCCCGACCGCCACGACCGAACCGCCCGAACGGTCTCCGATCGGCGACGGAAACGGGCGAACGCAGGCGTGACCTCGCACAACCTCCCCTTTTACTCATCGAACATTTCAGCTGAAACGCATGGTGTCGCCATTCCGTGCTACTGAATAATGCCACCCCCGATCACGTGACTGGCCGACATTAAGTCTCGAGAATCTACCACGAAATGAATCCATTTATTTCAATCCATGCAGTACATGCCGTACCACATTAATAAATAACGATAATTTGTTTCGCAAGGGAAAATATGATCAGAATAACGACGATATATTCAATATAAAAATGGGCATAATGTATTAAAATAATTAATTTACGCTTGATAAGGAGATGTTTGTCAACTATGTTATATAAAGCACTCGAAATATTTATAAAATATGTATATACTAGCTTCCGCCCGCTATTTCGCCCGCGTGATCGGGATATTTCCACTGACCGAGATATGTCCTCCATCTCCAGTACCTATCTCAGTACCTATATACAAAAGTTTGTAGTGATTGGTTAAGGTGTTAAGAGGTGTCAAAAACAAACAAACACACTTTCATATTTTATAATTAATATTATAAATGTGAAAGTGAGTTTGTTTATTACTAATGTAAGAATATTTAACAACATTTGGTAATGTATATCTCATTAATATTATTTCTTACATTTATAGTTATAATTCTATTTGTAATTTCGTAATAAAGCATGCTGGATATTCGCAATATGATATTTTTGCGTAGTGGCGTAGAGCAAGCGATATTAGCCACATGTATTATATTATACCACTCTTACCTCATAAACGTAAAAGAACGTTGAAGTGAAATCGGCCAGTATTTTTTGGGAAAAAGTACGAGTATAGTGGCTTCAATCATAAGAAAGCATACACTGCTAAATGTTTGAACACACACAATGAAGAAATGTTTCACACACACAATAGATTGAAAAATATTTGAATTTGGAACGCGGAATAGTGTATTTACAAGAAGATTTTGCTTCGTAATTTGAAGTTACGAACGTAAGTATTACGAAATTAATATGGAGCCAGTACGAGAAAAAAACTTATTGATTGTAAAAAAGATTATTAAAATCCAGAATTGGCGTCGTAACAGTAAAACATAATAACGATTCATAAATGATTTAAGATTAATTATATTATCATGTCAGCCGTTAACTGTCCATTATTAAAAATATATCTTCACCATAGACTGCCATACGGAACGGTCCCGAGCCTGAGATCTAGAAGGAAGAAAAAGGACTGGGGTCCAATTCTTCCTGATATTTAGCATTGGAGGGTTTTGCCACGCTTGGCAGGTGGGTTGGCCACTGCAGTTAGGCTTTAGTAATGTTTTAAGAAGGACACTGCTGCTCATCCCTCGACCATTAATTTCTTTTAGTCGCTTTTACGACACCCACGAGAAAGGAAGGGATATCATGCCATTTTATCACAAGACATACGACAGATTTAGGATTGTGAGAAGAATCTTATCACAAAACCTAAAAAAAACATGAAGTAATTGTAGCAAATTCAGCTATTTTAATTCAACTACTAAACCGATTTGGATAAAATTTCTACAGGACCAATTTGTAAGTATATTCTTTCAGATAAAAAAATGAAGGATTTTTCTAATCGGTTTAGAACTGATGGAGTTATGAGGTTCCAAACATAAAAAAATACAATGAATTGAGAACTGTTTTTTTTGGAAATTGCTTAGAAACAAATACATAATAGGTGCAATATATATTTAAGTTAAAAGAATTTTAAGACATGTAGGTCTATAGAACATATGTAGTATAAAATTATTCGCAAGAGAAAACTAGCAATTCACGTTCTTGTAGTAAGATTTACTACTTAAATTGAAGGTATAGGAGAAGTTTAAGGGCTATTTGGCGAGGTCTAACTTTATCTTCATCTCATGCATGCTGTATTAATTAATTAAGTACCTAAATGATTTTCAGGATTTATTATTTTATCAAGAGTATTGACTAAGAGCTGCAAAATAGAGATAATTATTTACTCATTAATCATATATATTTTTTGATTGTGATATTGCCGCCGGTTATATGAAGTTTGGACTTGTTTATCATGGATAATGCTCACTGCTTTAATGATATGGAACCGAAGCAGTATGATTCGTTCAAGTTGTGTTGTGCACCCAGAAGTAAACTCTGTATCAAACAAATCTCTTAGATTAGTTATCCAATTTACATAGGTATTTATCCGTTTTCTTATTGTGGCTAAGTAATTCTCATTAGTTTTCTTTGTTTGAATTTAAAATTTATTTACTCTGTTCATTTGAATTTTCTAATTGAAAATCTGATCCATGTTGTATGGAATGTCTCAAATACATTATTTACACACATATAGATGCATACCATTATAACAATATATGTTTCTTAATCGAAGACATAAAAGATTTTATAATACCTGATTTCAGGGTCTGTTATAAAATAACAAATGTTATGGTGGTGTTTGATCTAGGTATAATTTTT